ATCAAATTGATAATAAGCACATGGACTGCCTGGGTTGAAATTCCAGCTCTTACTGACTGGCTATGTGACTTTGGGCAATTAAACTTATTAAACCTCAGTTTCCTCATCTGTAAGTTGGGCATGATAATAGTACCTTCTTTTGGGGATTGTAGTGAGAATTGAGAAAGATATCAATGCATAGCACTCGGTATAGTGCTTGGGGAGGATATCAGAGTTAGCTGCTAGGGTGAGTAATAATAAAATGAGAACACACTGCTGGTGGGATCCCACCAGCAGGACATCTGGCCCTAGACATTAGGAGCCCTCACTTCTGGAAATTTATCCTAAGGACATAGTTAGAGGTATGGATAAGAAGGTCCATAACAGCATTCTTTGGTAAAGAAAATTTTTAAACAAATGAGAGTGGTTTAATTTATGATAAATTTATGTAATAGAATAATACATTTATATAATAGAGTAGAATAAATTTATGTAAAAGATAAATCTGTGTAATAGAAATAGGACTTATATAATAGACTGTTTTAGGTCAGGATTTCTCAATGTTTATGCAAACTTTTCAAAGCAATCTTCCTCAGTGGTGTAAATGAATGAAATATATAAAAATTGAACTTCAAATGGTGGGGGTAGTGGCTCGTGGTTACCTAGGAGCTCCACAAACAAGGCCCTGTCTCCCCTCCTGACTCATTCTTAGGGCAGCTGCAGAAAGGGGTCCCAAGGCTCACAGAATTTTTAACAATGTGGGGAAATGCTGATATAATGTTATGTGTTAAAATCAGAATAAAACATAAACATAGTATATAACATAGTTAATTTTATAAAACACTCTCAAGCTAACACACAGCCATAGAAAAATGCCTGGAAGAAAACATACTAAAATAATGATGGCTGTCTCCTGGTTGGATTTCAGGACATTTGTATTTTCTTTTTATAACTTTTTTGTTTTTATTTACGAAAAGTTCTTTAATGAACATGTACCATAGTTGTAATCAGGAATAAAATAACTTAAAATAAGTTTTTATTCTTTTCTTTCCCAATATTCACCCTAACATTCAGTTGTCACCACAAACTCAAACGCTTGTCCCTCTGGTGATGTCTCCTAAAAAATTATAATATATCTGTATTACAAGTTATGCTTAAGTCCAAATACAGTATTTTAATTATTATTATCATATAAATATCATGGTTACACCAGTGGTAAATAAGGATTACACTTCCTTTCCTGTATGCTTCTTTGTTTTTCCTGGTGTTAATAATGATTTTTTTTGGAGGAAAGAGGCTGGGCAGAAAGAGATCTGGAGTATCTGTCAAAGTTTTATTTCTATATCTGGGTAACTGTTACAAAGATATTTGCCCTGTATTCATTAAATTATACTTTTGTTTTGTGTGGTTTTTCTGTATTTGTGTTTTATTTTTTAAAAGTTTAAAAAAATAAATCACATAATAAGAACACACACACCCCCCTCCCAAAATGACTGGTTTTTTTTGGCTTAGTTTTCTTTGAATTCAAATTTGTCTTTTCACACACCTAACACTTAAAAATTTTTTTTAAATATGTTTTTATTGATTTCAGAGAGAGGAAGGGAGAGGTAAAGAAAGATAGAAACATCAATGATGACAGAGTGTCACTTATCGGCTGCCTCCTGCACACCCCTACTGGGGATTGAGCCTGAAACCAGGCGTGTGCTTTGAATGGGAATTGAACTGTGGCCTCTAGTTCATAGGTTGATGCTCAACTACAGAGCCACGCTGACCAGGGCACCTAACAGTTTTATAAAATAAATCTCCAAACAATTTTCATGTCAAACCTGACAGATAATCTGCCTCTTTCAGTTTTTTTGTGGGTGCAGGCTATCCTCTTAATCTGTATTGTTTCTCTCTAGGCCTGTGGTCTGTCAGCCTGCTCTCTCTCCTCACCCCCTTCCTGTGTTAGATCCCCTTTCTTTTGGGTCCGAATTTTTTTTGTTTACTCTTTTGTTTTAGTGAAACAAGAGCACATATGAGATACATTTTTTTGAGACTGTGTGTCTGAAAATATCTTTATGACTCATAGTTTGGGTGGGTATAAAATTCATAACCAAACATTATTTTCTAGAATTTTGAGGATAATTTCCACTGTATTCTAACTTTAAATCTTGTTGGTAAGAGATTTATGCCATTCATATTTCTCATAGTTTTTGTCTGTTGTTAGAATCTTCTCTTCAGAGTTGATGTTTTCAACCATCAGGTTTATGTGCCTCAGGGTAAATCTTCCTCATCATTGTGCTAGGTACTGGGGTGGGCCCTTTGATCTGGAGACCTCTTCTTTTGCTTGTGGCAAATTTTCCATTATTCTTCCTCTGATAATTTCCTTCTCTGAGTTTTTTTAAAAATCCTCACCCAAGGATATGTTTTATTATTATTGTTGATTTTAGAGAGAGAGGAAGGGAAAGAGGGAAACATCGATGTGAAGGAGAAACATTGATGTGTGAGAGAAACACTGATTAGCTGTCTCTTGATTGTGCCCCGACTACGGATGGAAACTGCAACCCAGGTATGTGCCCTGACCAGGAATCAAATCTGCAACCTTTTAGTGTATGGGATGACACTCCAACCAACTGAGCCACCTAGCTAGGGCTCTCCTCAGTTGTTTAGTGGGCTGTTAGACCTCCTGGATTGATCCTCTGATTTTATTACCTTTTTTTCCCTCCTATTTTCCATCTCTGACTTTTTGTTTGACTTTCTGGGAAATTTCCTTTATCTTTAAATGCTTTTACTAATTTTTTTCTGCTGTCATTTATATTTTTTTTAATTTCTAAGAGGTTTAATTCATTTTTTATTGCATCATATTATTTTATGAATGCATTATCTTCACTTATTCTGAAGAATGATGGTGTCTCTGAAATGTTCTTCTCTATATACCATCTCTATTTTCATTGAATTTCTCTTTATCTGTTTACTTATTTTGGTCTTTCTTTCATGTTAGCACTTTTTCTGATGTCTGTGCCCATTGCTCTTTGTATTTGGGCACTGCTTGTTAATGAGTGTACTTCGCTGCTGTAGGACTATTGCAAGGATGACTAGCTGGCTTATTCTTTCAGAATCTATATGCTTGATTTGTTTTTTCAAAGAATCATTTTCCAATCTCCTGCCTAGAGTAGGAGGGGAAGAAATCTGGGTGCCAGAGTTTTGGAGTTAGCTGGAAAAGGCAACTGCTGAATCCCACTGATAATCACACAGTTCATAGAAAATCATACAGTCACCAGTTGTCCAAACAGGTTATCACCACACACCCACCTCTGTGCCTAGTATCTCCACGTCCAGGGCCTCTCTGGTTCAGTGTCTTAAGGGAACATATATATTTCCCCTTGTGGAAGCAGAGGAATGGTGACACCGATATAAAAGTTCAGAATGAAGGCAACTTGAGGGTCTAGCTGAAGTTCACATACAGATTTTCAACCAGCCTCTCTCTTTTAATGCTCCCACCTTAACCTCACCTTTCCTGATACCTGGTTCCTCCAATTATTGATTTTTTCTGATGTTGCTTGGGTGGTTAGGTTTGACCTCCATCCACTCCACTAGATGATGGTGATTCTTCCATCTTCTTTCTGTCTTCATGTGTTATGATTTGGGGTTACAGATACATCCTAGTTTTATTGAAAATAGTGACAGGTCTTCTGTTTTTTGTTTTGTTTGCATTTGGAGTGCTGTTGAGACAAGGGGGAGAAATGTATTCACACCACCATTTTAACCCCCAAGTCTCTGCCTTGGTTTTTAATATAACTGTGATTATATTTTTGGTTTCCTATATCCTCTAAATTTTCTGCAATAAACATGTATTCCTTTAATAATAAAAAAGCACACATACACAAAGTTATTGAAGGTCTGGGGCACCCAACCTTGCATCTTTCTCCTCTTGCTGAGCCAGCTGGGTGCGTGAAGCCCCCTTATCTTTCATACCTCAGCTTCCTGACACCATGCAGCCACCCATGTGGCCCCAAGCACCTGCCAGAGAACACCATACTGTCCTTGTCAAGGCGCACATTCCTGGTTTCCTCACCTCTGAGCCAGGGGTGGTTATGGAGTAGCTTTTGTCAACCATGCAAGCTAATTTGCATGGTATGGATCCCTTCATGCATTCTGAATGGTCATGCCTCCAAAACCACAACAGTCTTCATAAAGAGATAATTCAGTGTGTGTGTGGTATGATGTTTTGCCAATTTCTTCCCACTGACGCCATTCCAGTCAGTAGGGGGTGGGCATTACCTGGGAATTTTCCATGACTACTTCCTACAGATCTATCTAACTCCCTCCACTTGGCCATACATGAGTGGCCCTTGGGAAGATGGTATACTGGGCCCTCAAATACTCTTGAACTTTACTGGCTCTACCAGGTCCAAGGGAATATAAGACCCCAATATCTAACACACACCCCAGGCCCGCCACAAGTTCTGGAGTCGTGGGGCTAACAGAAATCCAGTGAGAAATCCCAAAGTTGCAGAAATACTCCTCGTCCCCTGAGCTCTTTGACTGGGCTCCACCCTGGCCTGAGGATGCTGCTATTTCAGCTGTCCCAGCAAGCACAAGGGGTGTCAGGACATGGGGTCCAGCAATGCTCTTTTCTTCCTCCTCTACCACTAGTATCACAGCCTTTTAGCATGACCTACAAGTAGATTTTGTTGGGAATCCTATGAGAATTGATCCAGCCAATTAAGTGAGGAAATTGCTCTTAAATTTAACACGTCCATCATTCTCCTCCTCTAGTACTATTGATTTGGTGGGCTGAGGCTTTGAGGTGATTGTTATTTAATCCAGCAAAAACTACATGGGGTTCCCCCCACCACACAGGTTTACTCATTTCTCAGTCAACTTTGATTTTATTAAACTCAGCACTGTAAAAACCTCATAAAATAACCCTCATCAATACTCCCCTGCTGGATTCACACATTTCCACTCTGGAGCTGTTGCCTGGAAAAGCTGCTAAATGGCCTAGGCAGAAATCTCTCCTGTTGTGTCGCCTTTGGCATACCTTGTGTTCCCACTTATGGATTTGTCTGTCCCTAATCTCTTTTCCAAAAAAAGACGTGTGTTTGTACTCACAAATGGAAAGATATCCTCTATTAAAGTCAAACTTTACTTGGGTCATTTCTTCCACCCTGAGAAGACCATCTGTCACCACAGTGTGGTTCTCTGACTAGACCATGCCAAGAGGAGCCCACACGCATATGCACGAAGACAAAGTTGCATTTGGAGACTGGATAGCATCTTTAATAATAATGCCACAGCCCAACATCCTTTTTGTTGCTGTAGCAGGTTGTGATTGTGTGTGTGTGTTCCTGAACATATGAGGGGTCAGCAACTCCCAAGTGGCTCTCAGCCAACAGCTCTTTAGAGCAGCAACTAGAAGACAGTCTCCATAATGGCATGGAGGCTGGGCTCCTGCCTCCTTCTCTCCTGGGCCACCTTTTGTGCATTCAGAGGGCAAGGCTGAGGCCTATGCTAGCCCAGAGTAAAGGGCTTCTCAGCAAAGATGAGTCTTCAGTCCTCAGCCCTCACTGCCTCTGACCAGAGGTATGTCCCTGGGCACAGTACACACCGCTAGGCACAGGTGGACGACCTGTGCTGGCTGTGGTCCCTCTGTCACACTTAGGCAGCACCACAGTGGCCCAACCCTGGGCAGAAAAATCCAGAGCTTCTGGGGCCATTGGGTTAATTCTTTTAAAAAATAATCAGGTTGTAGCCCAGGCCCTTTCTGGGGCCAGCCAGAGAGGGGCAGACTTGGCCTGTGATGGCCACATAGCTATCGTTTCCAACCCAAACCTAAGAGCCTGCCCTCCTGCCATCTCCACTCTCCAATTCTTCACATGCCCAATAGGTCCACAACCCAGACATGGCAGGGGAGGTGAGCATGACGGTGAGTCAAAAGAAGGCCATGAGAGACCTGGGCTGAGCTGGAACTGCAGCCATGTGCCAGCCCAAAGCCAGCCCTCTCTCCCATGGTCACTGCCAGCCAGAGCTCTTTGAAGCCGGATGGGACTCCCACAAGGCACAGCAGCAAGTTCTTGGCCTAGTGCAGGAGAAAACCAAACTGGCTCCACAGTCCCATCTCCACTTGCTCTGTGCCTTAGGAAGGCAAGGAGCCCAAGTCCCCAGGAGAGTGGTATCAGCTGTTGGGGAAGCACCGTTGTCCAGGTGAGGCCTCGGGCCGGAAGCTGTGTTTGTTCAGTGGGCTGGGGTAGTAGGTAGTTGTGTACACATTGGTCTGCTGCAATGGGTAGAAGCTGGCTTTGTCATCAGGGATCAAGTTATTCTTGTTCAGGGTCTGTAGGAGAAGGAAGGAACAAAAGAAGGGGTAAAGGGACAGATGGAGAAAGTGGACAGCCAGGTCAAGGAGATCAGGAGCCAGTCAATGAAAGGACATTCTGTTGACACAATATTCTGTTCACAACATCACTGCTCTCTCCCAAGTACCCAGCCCCGTATGCCCACCTTAGAGCCAGAACCACTGTACTCATCACCCTGCCCTCTGCTTCTACAGGAAGAGTCCTACCTTGAACTCCATGGGTGTATACTTCTCTTTCTTAGGGGTGCCCCCACCCTTGTAGTGCAGGTGGTTGGGTGTGGCAGGATGGACGAGTGTGGACTCCTGGGACTGGCGCTGGCAGTGCTGGTAGGACAGGTACACTGCCAGGGTCAGCAGCCCAGAGCCCAGGAAGCAGGAAACACCAGTGGCTACCAGGTGGATGAGACTGAACCCTGGGGAGGGAGAGGTAAGTGGTAAGGAAAGGGCCATTGTGCAGAAGAGAGCCTCCCGACTGCCTCCCAATAGGAGGCTCTGAGATATAAAGGAAAGAGCTTTGAGGCCAGAGCCAATGGAAACAGGAAGGCTGAGCAGCCCCTCACCAGGGGCCTCTCTCACAGAACCACCTATGGCTTGGGTCAGGGGCAAACAGAGGATGTGGAGTTGGGTGACTCTTCTTAAATACAGACTTGATGACTGTCTCTTAGTTGGGGGCATGAGTGAAACTGCCCAGAATGCCCTCTACATGGTCTAAAGCAGTGGGGAACCTCCACAAGTTTTGTCAGTCTGGAGCGGGAGGTGAAGAGGTTCTAGATTTCAAAGTAAGGTGGGTCTCCTTGAAGAGGAGGGGAAGAAGAACATTGTCATAAACGGGGGGCAGGGCATGTTCCTTTTACCTCCACAGCCGGTGGCCTCCTCCACACTGGAGGCAGGCAGGATCACTGCAGAAAGACAAACAGGGAAGGTGTTGGGGCAGGGAGAAGAGAGGGGTCTCTCTGGGGCTAGGTATGTCTCTGGGAGGACCTCTGGGTCAGCACTGAGCTGTGGGATAGACCTGGGGCTATGTGCCTCCCACCCTGATGTTCCATCCTGTACCCGCCCCCCGCCCCCCACATACATGCTTCAGAGGGGGAAGGAAGTTGGGGGCTCAGTGGGAAGCATTGGTGTGAAGTTGCTGGCTGGGAGGCCTACCAGGTATCTCGCTGTAAGGGCAGGGGCGGCTCTGGCTGCTGTTTCCAGCACAGGTGCTGGGCCCTGGGACCAGATCCTCACAGTGCCGGCTGCGGGCTTGGACTCCGTCCTCAGTGCATGCACTCCACTCAGACCACAGTGACCAGCCTTCTGTGGTGGTGGGTTGGGATGAGGTTAACTGCCCCAGCACCCTGTGGTGGGGATTAGAGGGCTCCATGGTGCCCCCAGCCCTGGCCAGATGTACTCAGTACCTGGGCAGGCCTGCGTGGCACACAGTGCCTCCTCTGTGTGCAGTCCCAGACAGATGTCCTCGCCTGGGGAGGGTGCAGGGCTGGTGCAGGAACGTGTGCGTTGATAGTGGCCACCGCCGCAGGAGGCTGAGCACGGGGACCAGGAGGTCCAGCAGGACCAGGCGCCCCGCACTACAAGGGGACGCGGTGTGTGAGGGGAGCTGCAGGTGCAGGCAGGACTAAGACAGTCTTCTACCCCATCCAGGGCAAGGCCATCCCTGTCCTGGGCCACACAGACCTCAACACCCGCCCCACCCCCACTCCCACAGCTCTGTTGGCAAGGGGCCCTTCTCTGTCAGGGGGAGCAAGGGAAATGCAGGCTGCAAGGAGTCATCAAAAACCAACTCAAAACAAGCTCCTTATCTGACTAACCACTAGAGGAGAGAAAAAAAGTGACAGGAAGGTGAGGAAAAGCTTCGCTCTATGGGAGTAGCTGCTGAGTCCTGTTCAGGACAAGAAATTGTTCTGGGGCCCCTTGCACAGAGCTGGCAGAGAGAAGAGATCACTTGAGCATCCTGGATGGGGGTTCCCCGGGTGGAGGTTTGCCTAGGCGGGGGTTTCCCTGAACCAAGATTACTTAGTGCAGGGTTACCTGGACAAGCCTGGGGGTTGCAGTCCTGGTACTCAGTGGCGTCGCCCACGCAGGGCAGGCCCCCGTTGCGCGGCTCGGGGTTCGTGCAGGTCCTCTTTCGGAAGTGGAAGCCCAGCTCGCAGTCCCGGGAGCAGGACGACCAGGGGCCCCAGGCGGCCCAGCCCCCGCTCCCCACGTGCTGGGCTGTGCCCCCGGCGCGCAGGAGGTCCTCCACCAGGGCTGGGGGTGGGAGGAAGGGCCGGCCTCAGCAACGCGCGCTTCTTCCAAACCGTGCGTTCCGCCCGCGCTGAGCTCCCCGCCACCCCTGCACCTGCCCCCTCGCCCG